AACATGGTTTTAGCACACACAAATATATATATATCATGTTAATTCCGTGATTTATAAATATAAGTGTAGTTGTGGACTCAACTATATAATGGGGACGTCCCAACTTTTGGATCTGAGAATAAAACAAGTAACCCCCCAGGATTTTGAATTCAGATGCCAGGAAAAGCCAACTAACCAATACTTCTGGCTCTTCTATTGCAGAGCATGTAATAAATAGCAAGAATTGTGTGTTTGATTTTAGTGTGGACCATTTCTCGATTTTATGTAGGTCCCATTCCTCATATCACCTCAAAGTTCTAGAGTAATCGTATATCAGATCCCATGAGCCTTCCCCCTGTTTACAGAGGGAAGGCTTACTGGGTCTGAATGTTATTGGACTCTAGCTTTCTTGAAATTCATTTATTTTTTCTTCCTTCCTTCCATTCGTTATATTAATTAAATTTACACGCTTATATATTTTTTATATCCCAGAAAATAAACTTGATAAGCCTGGGATGAAACCGGTTGTTCTTTTTTAGCTTTTTAAAATGCCATATAAATTTTGCTTATTCCTAGCTATCATTAAATTTTGTACCTTAAAAAACTTATTTAAATATATTTTTTTTCTTTTTGCATCACAGTAAATGTCAAAGCAGAAAGTTCGATATTATAATTATAGCAACTGAAAGATGTTGCTTTTGTCTAACATGCCAGAAAACTAAATAATTACCATTTCTGGACATTTTAACTAGCATATTTTTTTTGATTATTTTATCCATCCATGTGTTCATGCAGAAGCTGAATATGAGAACAACTTCATCCACCTCTGACCTTTTTTTGTCTCTATTTTAACCTTTTTGAGTTTGACTATAGCAAAGTTAAATACATGCTAATTTTAATAGCATATCCTTTGTCACATTGCCAGGATTATCACATGTAACATTTTTTTTCTCCATGTGGACACTTTCTGTTATTAAATAGGTCAAATATATCGGACACACATTTTTTATATGCTGCTTTTTGGTATAGTAGTGACAAATTTCAGCTACACACGTCCTTTAGTTACTCGACCACCAGATATTAACAGTAATTATGCTGTTGTATATAAATTTTATGGCAGGAAACTGTCTCATATATTTTTATGGTGCTGAATGTAAATATTTTCCAACATAGCTGCCATCTTCCAATTAAGATGAATTTGATTTTGGCGTGCTTCAAGGGACACCAGGCCTCCTACCTCTATGTAACATTTGGTTGTAAGCTCCGCCTCTTTAACATAATTGGGTCATTACTTTTACTTAACTATATAGTAGTACTGGACATAAGTTTAGTGATATTTAATTAAAGAGGAAAAAAAATTATTTTTTTATCACATGTAGTTATCAGGCCCTCCCAAAGCATTTCACTATTTTCTCATACTATAGTTTTTCAGAGACGTTTTCCAATATTGCAGGATATTGAATTAAACCACCATGAGGAAAATTCTGTCGCCATTATGGCAGTCAGTAAAATTAATCCACTGTATAATGAAGCAGACCACAAGTCTTTACTTGGGGCACTCCAGTCAACAGCAGAGAAATATGCACTACGTGAATCCAGACACCCGGATTATCTAATGCAGTTTACATCAGACATATGTTTTGTCAAAAAGAACTGAAAACAACCATGTTCTGCAGGATTAATGCTTTCCTTCCAGATCCATGCATGAATACAAGTCAATGGTGGAAAAATAATCAAAGGACCAACATCTTCAAAAGCTTCTTCGGAACAACTAAACATCTTTAGAATTTTCAAATTAACTGATTTCGAGATTGTGTGTGACATCAGTAGAGAGCAATTACGCCCCTTCATTCCAGAAACATTGCGACGAACAGTTTTTTCACTCTGCATATCTTGTCTCATCTTGGTTCTAATGCTTCAATTAAGCTAATCACAGACAGATTTGTGTGGCCTTGAATGAAGTCTGATATTCGATTATGGTCAAAAACCTGTGTAGCTTGTCAAAAGGCAAAAGTTGAAAGACACACTCGATCACCTCTGGGCTCCTTTCCATCTCCGGATGAGCAGTTCGCTCATGTACATGTGTATATAACTGGTCCTCTGCCCTTCTGCGAGGTGCATACTTATTTGTTGACATGTGTTGATCAGTTCTTTTGCTGGTGTGAAGCACTTCCCATGTCAGACATTACAGCAGAAACTACAGCAAAGACTTATATCCAGGTGGGTAGCTCGTTTTGGTTTTCTGGTTGTCATCACCATGGACAGGTCAACAATTCAAGTCTGACCTATTCAAAAAGTTGATGAAACTTTTAGGGTGCAAGAGAATTAGGACCACTGCATAGCAGAGGCCAATGGTTTGGTGGAAAGATTTCAGCCATGAGAACATTGACAGACCAATCAAAATGGCTGGAACATCTACAATTAGTTTTCCTGGGACTATGAAGAGATGTAAAAGATGAAATGCAGTGTCCACCCACCAAAATGGTGTATGAAAACTCACTGGGCAGTTTTTCCATCAACCTCCACAAAAAGTGTTGGATATCACTTCCTTTGTTGGCTTACAAATCCCCTACACAGATCAAAAAACCTATATACATACCTAAACTCCTTCAATCATGCACAGACGTTTTTTGTGCGACTCAGCCAAAACAAATGCATTGCAGTCACCATACAGAGAAACATTCAAGATCCTGAAGATACATAATAAACATTTTAAAACTGTATGCACTAAAAATGCAAACAAAAATATATGTTTTTATAGGCTGAAGCCATTTTTTCTTGATGCTACTTAGTTGGATAGGGATACTCCAATCACACCTAAATCTCCAGTATCACAAGATATACCAAAGCAAACTGTAACCAAATCTGGATGCCATATTAAATGGCCTAAGCGTTTCTTATCTTAACTAGTTTCATTGTCTGAACGTGGGGAAGACATTGTGATACTTTTAATACACAGTGCATGTATATTCTTTTGTATATTGTATTTTCTATAAAGTATGTTCAGAGATTGCAATTATATCAACAAGCAGAATAAAAATAACACCTAGTGGCAGGTTCTAGAACAGTTTTAAGGATGGGGGTACCTGTTGGGTTACAAATGGCGATTCTCTCCCTTTCATCGAGATTGTCACACAGATCCTGTAACTGCCAGTGAATGACATCAGGAGGGAGATCGATGAGAGAAGTTGTCATGTAGAACCCAGAGATGAAGAACGTCCTTAGGACGCAGTGGTAGGTCTTACAGGAAAAAGCACATGATCTAACCCAAGTCATAAGCAGCTGTAACAACAGTTTTCCATTTGGGAAATATAACAAGTAAGGTTCTCCTTTCTTACACATTTGTTTGTTGAGGCATATGTTATAACTTCTTTGCGTGGGACACTTGTGTGTGTATATATATATATATATATATATATATATATATATATATATATATCTAATTTTGTGTACAACATAGCATTACAAACCTCTCTGTAAACAAAATGCGTGTTATTCTTTTCCATTCAATTATTCCCTTCTGTCTGTGAAATATCAGTGTTGTTATATCATGGATATAGTAATGCCCAAAATGAGAGAAACATTAGGAAAAATAGATACCTCTTTCTCATGCTCTTCTTACAATAACAAGGACAATAAACTAGCTAAAAACAATCCAATAATATCTAACTCCAGAACATCTACTATACAAGACAATTTATCCAATTTTAACAATATCAAAATAATTGCAAACATATCCAAAACTATTATGATATGATTAAAACCAAAAAAATAAAACCATATATAAATATATATATATATATATATATATATATATATATATATATATATATATAAAACCAAATATCAACTTAAATTAATTTAGTCATTTTTTCTTTGTTCAATTCTGTAACCTTTTATGCAAAATTGCACTTTTGTCTGTCTTTTCTTTCTTTCACAGAAGATACCTTCTATTCTGATGTTTCCTTTAACGTGTTCCACTTTCCAAAGCTTTCTATTTATATTTTATTATGACTATAAAGCCTTGTTTACAAATGGAGTTGCTGTAGATATTGTCATATTAAAGTTTAAGCATTGTTTTGGGTTTATTTTTACTTTTGTCATTTTACTCTTAATTTTCATAAGGCTGGAGGGGGGGTGACTTCGAACACATACGAGTCAATGGCAGTGAACAAGCGGGGAGACAAAGAAAGATGATTACAGGAGAAGAGGATTTACATCTGAATTTGTGACAGTTGGCTACATTATTTACTACAGTTTACTTTAAGGTAAACATCTGATACATCAGCTCAGATTGAAGACAACTATTCAATTTGACATCAATAATTAATGACCATCCTTTATAAGATGCATCATGAAACCGTTCATTCCCAATTGAAATCCTCCTAACCAATTTTTGAGCAGTACAGTAACTACTAAATAACTATATTTATTCTATGGGCTTCTATTCATCATAAACAAGATCTCACAATCAAGTTCTGGACAGCAATGTGGATTTTACTAGTTACTGCTGTAGGTATACTCATATAAATGACATGCATAAATTAAATATTACTGAAAATAATGAATGTGGCAATTTTAAATGTTTGTCTTTTTTTCCCCATCTTTAGCTCACTTGATATTTCACTCACTAAACTGGTCAAACTTGTTTGTTTCTTCAGTTAAGACTTTATTAGATAACTTCAATGATCTTTATGACATTTTTGCTACACAGGCCGCACCTGTTCAATCAATAATTCTTTAACTTGTAAGGATGGGCAAAAAGACAAACTAGAATGATTTTTTTTTCACTTTTGACCATCAAAATGTACAAGAGATCATTCCAAGGGAAAAATGGTTAGCAGTAAAAGATTGTTAATGTAAAAATAAAGAATTATAAAAACCTTTAGCAGCTGCCATCTAAAATCCAAATGCAAATATCACGAAAGAAAACTGTTCATATTTTTTATAATCAGTCATTCATTTCTGAGAAAACAAAACGAATGCAAATGAATGACATGTTTGGAAATAGAAAAGGATACAGTTTGACTTTCCTTGGATCAAGAGATGGGAAATTCTTTTTGTCAAGGCCAATGCTCTCTAACCAAACAGCAGCCCCATCATCAGCAGCAAAGCTATCATCATTTTCCTCATCTTCATCACATTTTGCCTTCTCTTTGCCAGGGTTGATAGAATTAGAACATTGCAATGACATTTTATCATCACTTTGGCTGTCAACCTTAAACAAACTACTGTCATCATCATCATCAAACAAATCTGTTTCTCCATCAAGATCATTCTCATTTGGAGAGGTACTCAATTCTTGGCTGAAACTAGATTTAGAAATCAAATTAAATTTCTTTCTTATATATAAACCATGTATAAATATGTAATGGAGTCTATTTATTAAGCACTTCTCCCAGCTAAGGGTTAAATAGCAGGACAGACTGGGTTCTTTAGCCTTGGTTGGCAACCAGTCTACTGCAAAAAGAAATAGCAACCTACTGTGGGAAAAAATCTTCTGCCTTGTCAGTCATGCATCAAAAGATACATAATCACTGATGCATGCATTACATGGCACTTGACTGACTGATTTAGGGAAACTTTTTATCATTCATTGCAGGGCTATGGAGTCAGAACACAAAACCTTCAACTGACTTTATTTTTGTCACATCCAAGTTCTCTTTATGTAATTAAGTGATTATGGCCTATGATTCTCATAAAGCCTATTTATACATTCTTAACTTGAGTAGGCCAATATCATTATAATTGATTAATAATTAATTAAAAATAAATTAAATTGAAATAAATAATTAATTATATGAAAGAAAAAAGATATTGTGGCTTTTATATCATACCTATTCATTCTTCAATATTTTCTCTATGTAATTAAGTGATTATGGCCTACAAATCTCATAAATTCTATGGATATGTGCCTAACTTGAGTAGGCCTACATCATTATAACTGGTTTATATGAAGAATAAAGGTATTGTGGCTTTTATATTATTCTTCAATGTTTTTGAACAGAATTAGAGACAAAATCTTTGAAAGGATATAGAAGAAATAACAATAAAAATAGTATAATGTAAGAATTTTTATATATATATCTTTGAAAATACGAAATAAGTACAGAACAAAAATAAAACTACTTTATAACAAAAATAAAAATTCTATAATGTAAGGTTTTTTTTACATATGCAGTTTTGCAAATACAAAATAACTACAAAAATAAAATGACTTTAAAAAAGAAGTTGACATGAATTACTTTAAATGAAATAGTTAATATACAGAAATAACAATAAAAATTCTATAATGTAAGACTTTTTATATAAAGTGTAATTTCAACTGGAGTCAGAGTTGGTATAATTTTACTGACTCCAACTCCATTACTTCCAACTCCGACTCCATAGCCCTCGTGCATTGTAAATGTCTAACATAAGAATTAGAAATAAAAGCAACACAAATCCTGAATCATGAACACACTGAATAGAAAGTAAATATAATCAATTCACTGACAGTGATTACAACAGAAATAAGAACAAGTCACTCTATAATATAGTTATGGAACAGTAGTATTAGTACAGCAATCTGGGCTTTGGTATCAGACTAAATAAAAGTATACATTTCTTAGTATCTAACCATATTTTTTTTAATCATTTCACCCCAAGCAAAACAATAAAATCACAAGATGCAAGAGGTTTCCGAGTGTGTAAAAAAAAAAAAAAAAAAAAAATAAGGAGAGAGAATAAAAAAAACCCAGCAATTAAGACAGAAGATTAACAATTGATATTGCATTTAAATTATTACCTAACATGAATGTAAACAACATGAAACATGTACTCTTTATGCAAGCTACAAAGAATTTTCAACTTTGCAGTTGAACTTTTCTAATTTTAGCCAATCAAAATTAAGAAGAGCATTTAATGCAGGAAGGTCTTAATATAAACAAATGCCTACAATGATATTCTCAACTATACATTTTCAAAATTATTAGTCGTATAGTCTTACCTTGAATTCTGAGTGCTTCTTGGACTTGTTTCTTCATCTCTGTTGAGTGATTTTTCAAAAGTCCTACAATCAAATGGCATCTTGTACTGAATTCCTAAAGCAAACAGCAAAGAATTCTAACTTCAAAACAGAGCAACAAGATTGGAGTGGGGGTATTGAAATGTGAGCGAAAATTGAAAACTGAAGACAAAATATTTCAAGTTCTGATGAAAAATTGTTATACAATAAATAAGAATAAATCATTTGTTGATTAAACGAAAAAATATAGAAAACATTTATAAACGGGATGAATGATAAATGTAGCAACCATAAGAACATGATTAGACCAATGATTTGGTTTAGTTGTTTTTTTTGTTTTTTTAGTGGCATATCAACACCTCTATGGGTTATTTAATGCAGAAACCTAAATATTTTGTATGCAATTTTTATTTCATTTATTTTTTTGAAGATAATGTTTGGGATACAAGGTTTATTAATTATCCTATTGCTGGAGGGGAAATGGTGGATTCATATCTTTCCCAAGGGTATTTTCTCTTAAGTGAATATAACAAATTGGATTCTCTGATTAACAATTCTGAGCAATTATCTATTACACAACCTGCACATCCAAGCTTACAGCACCTGGTATTTCCAAACAGTCACCCATCTAAGTATTAACCAGGCTTGATGTTGCTTAACTTTTATTCCATGTAACATTCCTTTCCTGATCAGCAGTTGCATCAGTTTTGGTGTATTAAAGATTTCATTGGATCCAACTGGGAATCCTTCTTTTATAATGGAATACACAACAGTGCTGGAAGATGATCTAAGGTAAGAGAAAGCCAATGAAAAGTCTTTAATAATGAAGATTTTATATGAATCAGGATTATTCCCAAAATATAGTGGAAAGTTTTGCATCAATTTGTCAGAATAGAAAATATAAGAAAAATAGATTTTATTCCAAAATCAATTCTTGGAGGAGTCACCAGTAGAGATATTAAGAATATCAACAAATTATGCGATATTTCAAAATAACCTACTTTCTTATGAAGATAAAACAAAAAAGTTTTGTGTTGTGTGCTGTGGATTTCTTTCCTGCTTTACAATACAGAATCAAACAAAAGGAAAAAAAAAAAAAAAAAAAAAAAAATTCATTTTTATTCAGACAAAAATAAATCAATAAAAATAATAGTTTTGTAAGGAATGCTTTTGTTTTTTTTTTTTTTGTTCAACTCCTGGAAATTTTAGCATCAGTGTAAAGTGTTGTCTGCTTTCAGTTACTTCTTTCTTTCTTTTATCTGTCACAAGCTGTCAAATATATAGGAATAATGAAGTCCTTCCATATCACACAGTGTAGTAACTGTTACTGTTTACCACCCGAAGATCATCCTATCTGTTCTATACTGAATAACTTATTAAAAAAACAAAAAACAAACAAATATTGCCTTTAGGGTGAAAGACTGAACCACATTATAAATGAATGTAACAACTTAGTGAATAGCAATAGTAAAGTAGACCTGTTGGAGTCGACATACATTAAGAACTGTGCAAATGACTTTGGTTTTACTATGCACCCAAATCCAAATTCCAAATCATGAATTTACAATAAACAAACATTGAAAGGCTAGATTCAATTGTTGTAAACAAGGACCACCCTACCCAAGCAAAGAGTGGACAACCCCGCCCAAGCAAAGAGTGGACCACCCCGCCCAAGCAAGAAGAGCTAATCTGGATGTTGTAAATAAGGAAAAAGAAAGTCTGTCGGATTGTAGATGTTGAAGTTTCAGAGAACCACATGGTAAAGAAAAAAAAAAAAAAAAAAAATAACAGAAGTAAATAATATCACGACTTTGTAGAACATAAAGGTCAAGATTGTATCCATAATAATTAGTATACTTGGAATATTGTGCAAAATACTAGAGGTAAAATTGAGAGAATTGCATTTTTGAAGTGGGACTGATCTTCTTTAGACTATGGCTGGGTTGGAGGCTATAAGGAAAATGGTAGATATTCAAAGAAAATGTGTCACTCCATAGAGTGGAGCTACTTATGAAGTGTTCTGTTGTTATATGGACTGCAGATCTTCTGAACCTTTTCCGATAAGACCTTAATGTAAGGCAGACAAATTGTGGCAATTCTCTAGTCCTCATCTTTAATTTTTCTGTCTCCACCTGTAGACACTGATGATATGTTTGCAGGATAGTTATTATTCTGAAGGTTATGCTTGATGCGGATCATTTCCTATTGGTATATATCTAGTTTGCTACTTATAATTTTTTCATGCTGCTGTAGGCATCAGACAATCCCTTTCTTCAAACAGTATGGATGGTGGAAATTGAAGTCATTGTCCAGTGAAGGTTGGCTTGTAAGATACAGATGTCTTGAATCCATTCTCTGTGTGAATTATTAATTAGTACATCCAGAAAGGCTAGCTGATTAGTTTTTTTTTTTTTACTTCCATTAGGAACTGAACCGAAAGTCTTATCAAGTTCACATGGTCCAGCAGTATTTGTACAGATTCTCAACTATGCTGTTGTCTTTAGTTATACTTTTCCTAAAGCCATTTCCTCAAAGTATCCCATATATGTGTTCACCATCACTGGTGACAATGGTGAACCCATAGCCAAGCCTTCCCTCTGTTGGTATCTCTCTTTAACCTACTCTGGTTTTTTTTTTTATTTTTAAATGTACTTTTTATCATATAAACTTTGGTGGGGCAAATTTTCATTCTAAGAATGCGGTCCAAAGAAAAAATATTTGGAAACCACTGTCCTAAACAGTTGCAGTCAAACATCAAACAACAGGCAGCATGCAGTTCAGACAACAGAATCCCATTTGACCTAAATGAACAAATAAATGAAGAAACATGCAGTATTCAACTCGCCCTATTGGCAGGGGACAGTTTTTCTTCTCTGTACCACATATCTTGAGGGCATCAGCAATCATGGATTTTCACAATTTTCTGCCCTTTATAACTCTTAATAAATTTTGGCTTTTTGTTATCTCTCTTAAACCTTGTTCTGCCATCCATTTATTCAAACTTGCCAGGTATGC